GCCACTCCCATCCGGTCACATGGGTGGCAAGCCACTCCCACAAAGGAGGCCACACCCACAGAGTAGGTTCAAACAATTTTTGAAAGCCACCACTGGTCTATGTTTGTGTGTTTTGACAGAGGTAAGGGATATAAAAATCTCTAGGTTATATTGCTGAGAACCCACGGGGAAATTTTGATGCATTTGTATTGCTGAATGGATCTGCTGTCAGGGTTATACACTTATTTTTGCTTGTTCATTGTTGCTTTATTCTGATACTACGAGTTTCCCAGAGTTTATGGGACTTGGGCAGTGCCTAAGTAGAATAGAATCAATAAATACATTTAATGCGGAGATACATGTTAATCTAAAAAGATATGCGCAAAGCAAAAAGCGCAACCAAGACGATCTGCAGATCAGTTAAGGATTAAAACATGAGAAGGGTGGCTTTTCTCATTACTGAAAGATAAGATGTATCATATTTACCAATGGGAAGAGGAGTTCTCTCCCCACCCTGATAATTACCTGAGACTTAAAGAGGTAATCCTGCGTAGCTAAGGAGAATAAAATACACTGTGGTCTGTTGAAAGGCATCAGCGTTTTTGAAGATTAGCTGTGCGTGCTGAATTTTAACATTTTTTTTCCTTAACTCCTAAACTTGGTTTCCCTTAATTTTTTTCCCCTTCTCTCCTCTGTTATCTCTTCTTCCCCTTTCCCCCCTTCTTCTTCTAGTGTAATTACTCCTCTTCTTACCTCTTTTATTGTTCCCCCCATCTTTTTTTGCTGTTTCTGACGAAAGAAAGAAAGGGAATGCAGCCGTGTGCGATGATATATTTCTGTGGTTTTTGGTGTGAAAGTGGTTCTCACGTGCGAGTCAGAATGGTTAGAGTACACACTGGGCAAACAATTCTATAAACGGGATCAACAGAGTATCTTATGTGACTTGTGGCTTCCTGACAGGCAGGTATGTGAGTCTGTGTGACATGGACATATTTATTGCTGGGGGAAAAAAATATTTTCGCAATCTTGATGAGATAAAAAAACTTGTAATTAGCTGTATTTTATCCTATCTCCCATTTAGGAAAGAGTAATCTTAAATAAAGGTTTATCTTTTGGGAGGGTAAATATGTCTATTTCATAACTTTTAAAAGTATAGAAAGTTATTATCCTCAGAATATATGCATGTGTGAAACATTTCATTTTTTTCCTTTGAATATTAAAAAGATAACATTGGATGGAGTTACCAAAAAATGTCTTAGGTCTGTCTTCTTTCCATTAGGCCTTTCATTCTGCATGAGTTTTTTTAGTGGCTTGAGTGAGGCCACTGAATGAGGCTAAATTATAACTAATTGGGGCCCATAATCCATATTATTTTGATTCCACTGTAAGCGAAAGCTACTTTAATTGCTGAAACCTCTAGGGAAAATTTAAAATGTTTGGAATACAATTTATTGTGTTTGGAAAACATCCTAGACACAAATGATTAACATGAAACATTTAATAGAAGGATAAATAGTTAATAACTGGTTCTCAAACTTGTGAAATATTCAGATGTTACTTTTTCTTCATGTTACATGCAGCATAGAGACCAAATAGAATCTAACATTTGTAATATCTGTTGCATATCCCCAAAAGCACAAATTGGTATCATCAAATACAAACCTCTTCAACATCATTATCTAAAGCTACGATCTGCAGTGGAGACGTCAAATTCTGGTTATCAGAAATGGTTGTACCGACAGGAGAAGACTCTGAAATAAAGCCGTCATATGTGGATTTGGTGAAGAAAGGTTTCTGATTGTTTTCATCTAAAACTTCAATATGCAGATTAGCAAAGGCTGGGAGAGGATGGCCATTGTCTTGTTCAGCCTGCAAAAGCAAAAGGTTAATATGCTATAAATTCCTGCTGTCATTTTTTTTTAACATTAATTGGTTTTAATTTTGTATTTTACAGCAGAGATATATTTTACGGACTTGTTTGTGTTTCTTTCTAACTGCAGATGGATTATGTAGCAAAGCTAGATGCCAGTCATTCATCACATGTTGAGGTGATGAGAAACCAAAAGCAAGCCACAAACTATATAGACTTTTGAAAGTCTCTCATTAACTCATAAAAATAAACATTACACCCAGGACAGTCTTATTAAAACTACACTACGGATGTATCACAAAACTACATGGTTCATTAGGAAATAGGTGGGTAATTCGGTACACAGGTGAAGGTTTTCTCTGGGGTAGTCTGAGGAATTGACCATTTTTTAAAAAGACAAGATAAAAAGTCTACTAACTCTTTTGAACTTTGGCATTGAAAAAAACTGCAGAGAATACAATCAATAGCGAATAAAACAAAACAGATCATAGGGCAAATCAGTTCGGAGTTATGACTTAATGCATGAGTGATCAGGCTCAAAATGTCCTATTTTGGACAGATTACGCAAAGAATTGTCTCGCTTTAGAAATCTATAAGACTGGGAAAAATGGAAGCAGAAAGAAGAGGATGTTTAGCAACAAATGGACTCAGTTACAGTGATTATGCATGCACCATTGGAAGACCTGAAGGGCAACCAGGCCTTAGGAGAGAAGGGTGTAGCTGGTACATTGTTCTGGGGCCCATGGAGCTCAAAGGGGGCCCATGAAGAGGAATTTTTTTTAAAAAAACATTTTCAAAACCAAATTTTTAAAAAGAAAAACAA